TTTCTGAATTTTCGAAAATTGCGTGTTGCAATTACGTGCACTACACTACAGCACATGTCGGGAGACCGTTCGGGAGCTTAGAGGTTGTCCCTGTGAGGCGGTGCCCAGATGATGGGAGATACTTGGTGGGGGGAAAACCATGCAATCAAACATGTAGAATTCCACCTGATCTCAACATCGAGGAAGATAAGATCACTACCACCTCGCCTGATAAAAATATGCACAACACGTACGGGAATAATGACCATAGCATTTTACGCGCCCGGAAAATGAAATAATCACTCAGTTAACCGTAGCAGTTGACGTGTCTGGAAACATCAAATAATCAATCAATTAACCTTAGATATGTTAATGCTGAATAGGGGCTTCTCCCTCCTCCCGAGAGTGCATCAAACATATGTATGGCTCACAATTTAGATTTTCTAACTTTCAGCAGGCTTACTCACAATACCCTATGCGTATATCACGCATACCCCGGAAAAAATGCGTCCCAAGCACTTATAACACGGGTTTACTGCCCCCAAAAGTGATCTAAGTGTTATCTCTCTTAAATCGTAATAGAATACAAAATGATATGTGTATGGATCTATTTAATTATTTATCTACGTTTAAAAATAGTTAAAAACTGTGTGACGTACTATGGAGAAGTGCAATATGTTCACGGTCTCTTGAGCTGTGGGATCGCTGTTCTAACTCGTACATATTACGTTATGAAGTTGAAGTATGAATACAGATAGAAACGAGCTTTCTTTTTAAGGAATTCCTATGAAAATATTTGCTTCCGAGTAATAAAAGTTATTTGCAAAGTCTACAGGAACTTTCGTTCTATAAGATAAAAAATAAACAAGGAAATGTTTGGGACAGCAAAGCTCTGTCTTGGTGATATTGTGTTGCCCAGCTAGACAACCTCTAATTTTGGACTTACTTTGAATCGGAGCTTACTATAGAACTGGGAGCGAGCTCTAAGTACTTTTCCTTCCAATCAGAAGAAACCGTCAACAAGGATAAGAACATTCTCGGTATTAGAGAATAAAACCTGTGGCACCATTCTGTTCTGCAACTTTCAATTCATTGTAAACACCTTTCTTGTTTCTAATCTACGAGTGAAACCAGAAGGTCTCAAGAATGTTTATCTCCAAGTGGTTCCTTATCCCAATATTTCTGAGGCAAAAATGTAGGACGTAACAAGTCTTTTTACGCATCTAAGCAAAGAAGAAATAGACTGGATGGAGTGGATTTTAAATGGATATCAAGATGTCATATTCCATGTCCGATTTATTTTGGAGTCTTCAATTTATCTTAGTTTCTTTCTCTTGTGTATTTGCTTCCTCTCACAATGAAAACTTAAAATACAGAAGTTATTATATACAAATTAATATTTTTCTATAATATGTATTTCATAGTTAAATACTCCAGTTCAGTAATTTTTGTTTCAAATCGTTTTCAAAACTGTATGAATTCTAAGAACCATTCAAGGACACATTTTAAAAGAATTTTAAAATATTATTTTAATTATTTATACATTACTCGTAATTTGTTAGACGGTTCCTATGGTAATGTTCAAAATATCGTTGTGTAAATGTATTTTGAGTGTTTTACGTCTTCTCTGAGCGTCTCAGAAGAATTAATTTTCTTTTTCATTTGGTACAAGAATCAAAACAGTTTTTGAAAATACGAAAAATAATACTGTCGGCAAACAGTTAATTGAAAAAAGTTTAATTTCCTGACACTAATTGAATGCTTCATCGTATTTTTCAGTTCAGTCATGGGGAAAGTTTAATATTTTCACGGTTCATGCATTCAAAAGTGTTGTATTTTTCTTTCAAACGCCGTTCGTCCATCCGTCCGTCCACTGCCCCGTCTATCGACAACACACGTCTACAACCCTAAACACGATTTTCCCCACAATGAATATTTCTCGATCGATCTGACCGAACTCGAGTTCCTTTGAAACGGTATTGAAGCAACGTTTTAATTGTTAACGTAATCAATGTGTGGGCACAAATACTTAAAGTCATCTTTTGATATCTCTTACGCTGTCAAAAGCGGCTAATCTACTGAACGTTGGTAAAAAACACAAATTTTATTTAAACTTTTTCCATACCAATATCTTAACAATAAACAAATATTTTAGTCAATACTCCCTTCCACATGTGTCCTCGGTGGCTCATTGGTTAGCTTGCTCGCTTTCCACGGCGCAACCCCGGGTTAAGTCCCCGGAGTGGACAAAAATTAATTGTGCGCTTTCCTTGCAATGTTCCAGTGCAATCTGCACAGCAACTAGCTCGCTACTTAGCTCACTACTTAGGTTGAGAAGACCAGAGATACGGCGTAGGGATGGCACATGTTCCCCTTAACTCATGGCTGCAGGGCCGGGACGCCGCTGCTAGGCATTAGCTCGCAAAGAGCTGTTAAAAAAAACTTTTTATACGCTTCGACATTACGGTATGTAGTGACATTTTTCTGTGCTGCGAATCTGTATTAATCATCCAATGTGGTTCTGACGTGAGTCAAATAAAAATGATGCGACAAACGAAATATCAAACAAAAAGGATATTAAACTTTTGAGCACTTGATATTTTTGCAACCTTGGACAAGAGACTTATTTATATTTTAATGATTTAGTAGTTCTGTTTCTATGTTTCTACTGATGACGACAAAAATTAACTGAATTTAATGAGTAGCGTTTTATTAGATTTTATTTATTTTGTTTAATTTTTGAAGTGTTTATTTTTTCTATACTATGTGGTTATATTTTGATTGTAAACCGTGTTGTTGTACTTTTATAGACCAGGTAAAGGAGTGGTATATGCCGAAATGCAGGGAATCTAAACTATTTTTCATTTACCTGACCAACACTCCATTATCTCCCTAGAAATATATTTTACGTAGACTAATAACAGTACCGTCGCAAAGGAGCGTAAATTTACGTCATTATTGATGATACATGAGCAATGGAAAGGAATTCGCCGTTTTGAGCCTGAGAGTATGCAACCCAGGATCGCGCTGAGCTTTTCAGGTTGCCTGCTTTGAGGTCCCAAGGCTTCAACGTAAGAGATTGACACTGATGCTAGCGCACTCCTGTGGGGGCTTTTATAAGTTTTTCCACATCACAAAAGCTACCAGATGCTATATAACACTCTTTACTTGGGGAAAAGTAACCATCCGTTTGAACAGACAAACTTTATGTATCTTAAAAAACGAGTTCAGTATCTGACGGCTCTAATGTTCTTATCATCGGCATCAGAGCATTAAAATCAATGAGAATCGATGCAGAAGTTTAAATGCCAGATAATATATTTTTTGCTCTGTTGCTATTTTGTACAATTAAAGACTACACCGAGTACTAAAAAGAAAATTACATTTATTTTGTAATAATTGTACTATGATGTAATTACCTTTTGTCCTGTATGATTCTTAAAAACTGCCTGGAGACACTTCTGTTATCCATCTGTGCGTCAATGCTTCATTTTAGATCGTGTTTTTCGTCCATGTTTCCTTGGTTCTTTTAGGAAATGTTCAGCTGGCTCCTTGCTTTGCTCCTAATAACACGTATAAGTACATGTATACTGCATTCATACATGAATGGATAAATGCATACATGCAAGTATATACACGATGGCCGATAGAAACTGTGATAAAATACCCCAGATTCGGTTTTCTATCCATTCTTGACAGAAGCATCAATCAATCAAGAGAAAAAACTGTGAGGAAAAGAACACTCCAAAATTTCATATGCACTCACATGCACCGCGAAATGAGGAACTCCCAACAAAAGTTCTGCTATCTCAGGTGATACGCTCCCCTGTTAGACCTCCTAGTTTCGGCACAATATTATATCAGATCTCCCTTTTCCTCTGTTTTTTCATAATTTTGTCAAATTCGTATGGATTTGGGGGACATCAGGTTTGATCACAATCAAATCAAAATTTAACTTGGAAAAACAGGTAGTTGGATATTCTAATTTCCAATTTCAAATTCAACACACTTAGGAAAAAACATGGAAAAAAACACCCCAAAAACATGAAAATACAAGGTTCTGAACGGGATCACTGCGTTGTTGAGTGTGCTTCTTAGGGCCTTCATGCACATATTCATGAATGCGTTAGAATTAGTTATTTATTCTCTGATTCCTCCTCAATATTGTATTTCATTGCAGTCCTCATCCAGCTCTTGTCCGTGTAGTTTAAAATTAACTCCTCCAAGAACGTGTATAAATTCGCCTGACAGTTTCTGTTTCAGATGTGGAGAATTCATGGTGAAAAAGTAGCAGTTGAATATTACAGATTTTGTTAAGAAAATTATGTCGATGTCGTTTATTTTACATTAGCTCTTTGTGACCAAGATAAAGTTTGAGCTTTTCAAAGTAGGTAAGAGTTGAACCAATTTTATGTTTATGGGACATTGGAGACCGATAAAATCACCTGATGCAAAAGTGTTGGTTAATAAGATGTCTAGTGGTTGGTGAAAAGAATGTTCTCACGAAAACATTCATTGGTAACCATGAGAAGGGTTTATTACCACCTCAACATATAAAATTAGAAATGATAAATCCATTTTAACGATATTAGCGAATGCTTCAAATTCTTGGGATCCAAGTTTCTAGGTTTATCGGAGGCATAACTGAGAGAGGGAGTTTTTGTGGCGCCGAATATTAGAAAACACATATCCGACAAAAATTTCAATAATTCAATGAGCCGAACTCAAAACGAAGCGCGGGTTGCATTTACTGTGTACATTAAAACTTTTTGGGAAACTAAAAGGACCCAAATCACAAGGAAATGATGTTGAAAGCATGTTGAAAGCATTTCAGAAGCTTGGTTGCTCCGTGAACTCAAAAAGCCTTTTTCTCAACTCACACTTTAACTATTTTTTTGAAAATTTGTGCAGAGTACTGAGCGAAGAGCAAAGAGTATAAAGGTTTTTCAGATAGATGTAAAAGAAATGGAGAGACGATATCAAGGGAAACAGTGTTACCATGACGGCTAGTTAGCTGCTAATATTTGTGAACTAAAATGCATTTTACATATCCATTCACATTTTGAGGCAACATAACTGTCTTTCTCTCTAGAGAAACCTACAGGAAAAACTATATAAACCCTATTCTTTCTAAAATGAAAGATATAAAAAATTGTTTTCACTGTGCGACAATTCTATCATGGATTCTCTCGACTTCTCTAAAGTGTAGGGAATTCTCGCTATTTTACTGAACAAACGTTTATTTAAAAAATCGAAAATAGCACAAACAATTTAAAATTAATGCCGTGACTGCAAAAACAAGTCAAAACTTTTACAGAAATGATTTTTCTCTTCATTTTATGACAAAAGGAACCAGACTTAGATAACGAGAACAGATTACGTTGCTTAAAATAGTCTTTATTTTTACACAATTTCTACAAAAGCATCTACAATTTCTACATCATTTGTTATCATTAGGTAATACAATAATAATGTACCATCGCCTTTTGGGGCCAAATAAAATATTTAGAAGTTTCTTGATAACTATTCTACTGTTTGAACTAAATTCTAACTTACAAAACTAGTAGTAAACAAATTAAAAAGAAACTTATTTGTAATACTTGTTTTAACCCGAGAATATAAGTGCCAGAACAAATGTAAATTCTGTTTCTTGACCAACCTGAAGAGACTTAACTCAGAGATCCTGTTACAGATAAGCTGAAAATGTATCAGGATTTGAAAAATTACAAATACTTTAAACACACTATTTACAAAAAGCAACATGGTAACCTGTTAATTAAAACTTGGACCATATAGCGGACACATAAATTTTACATGCCTTTAACGTAGCATCATTGTAACATGTAACAACTAGAAATTGTACTGTAAAACAGTAGTAAAATTAGATCAGACTACTGGTCTTGCAAATTACTGGTGTATAATTTCTCTCAATCGAGCCAGTCAGTTTTAAATACACAAAGAAATCAGTTAATTTAACTTGGCAAATTGTATTTAAATTATAATGAAAGGTTATAAAGTACGTTGTATTGTAATATTTGTTTAATTTTATTTGGAGAAAATATTCTTCACCCATGTTAGACTCGAGCAGAATGCATTTTTCAAACACTCGCTAACAAAAATTTTGGTTTATATGACTCTCATGATACATTTCTAAACGAATTGCTTAGTTTATTGAATGCAGTGTTACAAATTGGAACGTTGTTCCTGGAATGTTAATAGTGAACGTACAAAAATTAAAAAGAACAGCAGCATGACTTTGCACACAATATTTTACACATAATATTATTAAAATTCGACAGTGAAATTCCAATTACATTTTAGTACTTTTTGCCAAGAAAAAATAAATTCAGGAAGAACTATTTAGATTTACCTTTGGTGATCATAAATATAAATAGTTGTGACTTTGTATCTGAAGCCCTTTGGTTACTACCCAAATTTATAATTTTAATTCCCTTTCCTAGTAGTACGATTTCTTTTTCATTGCCAATATGAAAACAATTTTCAGACATCACTTTTCAGGTTTCAGTTTCATTTAATTTTATATCAACATCAAAAAGTAACAAAGCAAAAATAATAAATATGCATTTGAATAATTTATACTTTCAATAATGCTGCAACTGAAATTATGAAACAATCTTTTGAGCAATGAAATGCAGTTATGTTTGTCTTGTAAATAGAACAAATTGTTAACACTTTTCTTACGACTGAACGTTTTCTGACAAGTCTCTTGTTCTGGCTTACAATTGCATTTATTCAGTCTGTATTTCAGACTCTCTTCCAACGAATCGTAGAGACAAACCGTAAACTCGTGATTGTTCTTGTACAATCGGATGCTGTGTCCTTATGAATCTGAAATTATTATCTGATTTTCACAATCAGTTTTCGGATTGTCGTCTTCGTTGCGTCTATTTGACTTCAGTCTTCATACTTTTTTTTAGAAAGATAATCCTCACAGTTTCATTGGCCACCTTTTTTCATTAGAGAATAATTTCCAATTAGCATATTCACTCTTTCTCGAGCATCCGTGAAACAAAGGTCAGGTGTCCTCGCACGTCATCTGACAGTCCTCAAATTTCAAAAGAGATACTACATCACTTAAGTCCCTAAAACGTTTTCCAGGAATATTAAAGAATAAGGTAGACACAATATTTACGAATTCGTAACAAAAATTGAATCATACTTTACATTTAAGTTCCTTTTAAGTAAAAAACTTGCACGTTCAAAAATAAATTAAATGAATAACCAAGTTTCAAGAATAACAATCCAGATATCAAAAAGTACCTTTAATATTTATTTTTTAAAAGTGAGGAGGAACATTTCGAATAAAATATTCGTATTGTCCGCCGTCCTTTCCAAAATACTGACTTAAAATAAAAATTTCCAAAACCTGATAACTTCAAATGACCTAGCGAACGTTCGTCAAGATCAATGCAGATATCGTTATACACATTTTGAGTAAAACTATTTTACATTGTATTCAGAAAAAAGTTTTGGAAAGTAATGATTCTTTAACATGACAATTCTATTTAAAGTAAACAACATCGTTACATGTAAGAATTTTTTAAAATCACTTGCTTCCTTTAAACTACGTCACTATTTTCATAAAATTGCAATGAATATTTTTCCACACGTTTCATCGTGACTTTCGTGTATAGCTGCTGAAAGGCCGTGCGACTTATTTGAGCAACGTCATAGGTCGTAACCTAGTATGTCGTGCGAGGGCATCAGCGAATTCTGTGGTCGTGGTCCGACACCGTTGCCGTCTCCATACGCCTAGATGACGCCGCAATCCTCGAAGAGCGGAAGTAGGCGTCGGATGATGGAGGCATAGGGCTCGGCGCCGTACGCCTTGTTGCGCGGCGGCTCCTCCTGCGGACACAAGCTGCTCTCAGAAAGATCAAGAGATCAAATCGCGTGAAGGTGGCTGGGCTTAGCGCTTTATAGCGCGAAAGAAAAGTCTCTCCGTAGTGGCACCTGAGTGCTTGCAACAAGAATTATGTTGTTAACTGCGTGTAACAGAAAACGTAAATACCGCACTCACCACAATCATAACTGATGCTGGAAGTGTTGTCCTTTTCACTTGTTTCCAAGCGATCTGTTTGCTACCACCATAGATGCAATTCTTAATAGGGGGCCCTGATTCGGCCCAGTGTGGAGAAACTTTCCTGATGAACTATATAAGGCGTATGTAGTTTTCCCTGCTTGGAAGTAATTTCGAACCAGGCTGCTCATACGTAGGCAGACCGGATACTTATCTCAAAATTCGAACACTTAATGCAGGGATCTGATATGGATAAATTCGCGTTTGTACATTGAACAATAAATTACTGAAATAATTTGCCAACCGAAACATTTGGGACTGGCCATGAAACTGTAATTACTAAAAATCTACCACCGGGTGCTCAACCCTAAGCAGCTCAAATATATCTATCTTACACAAATGCCATCTCCTTGTTCCTTTTCCAACCCAGTCTTTCATATATAATTGATAAGGTTTAACCCATGGGTGTAGTGGTCACACCACTTGCATTCCACCGCTAGGGCCGGGGTTTAAATCCATGTTAAGTGACTAAGTAGTGTTGCTGGGTGTGACAACTGCTTTGGTCATTAGTTTGGTGAGTGTAGAGCTCGTTGTAGACTTTCGAGAGATCCAGCTCCGACCTATATTTGGGATTGCGGTGATTTCCTCCTTCCGATATCTGCCCAGCAAGGCACCGCCCCAGACGAGACAAGCTAATCGTATAAACTCCTGACTGATCTCCCAACATGTGTGGGTGTACTAGATCATATGTGTGTATGTATGGATACAAGAGGGGATGGGAAGACAAGGAAGGAACGAATTCGCGCACTTTGTCGCTCGATTTGTCGCTCGTTTGTTAGTGTATAGCTCAGGTATTCACCAGGTATAGATCGGAGGAACCACAGAAAACTATCGATGAGAACTGCTGGTCGCTAGAAATCTACTCCAGAGAACATGAATTCAACCTAGTGTCAAATATCCGCCACCGTTAATACTCGAATTCCAGAACCACCCGGTTAGAGATTGTGACGTCATGGATACTCACAGCGACCACAGACACAGAGCTTTCGTATAACAAATATATTTATTAACAAGAAAACAAAACAAATATATACACTTAATAATCTACTTACACCCTAGCTCTGATAGACCTACTATCCCCTGATCGCGGGAGCGATCCAAAACCCGATTGAAGATTGTTTTGATTGTGGCATTCGCCACTCCTACTTTGGAAGCGCGCACAAAGCCTAGCTTCCGTGACCGGATGTCACGCTGGGACACAAAGTCCGTTCTGGCGCACCAACGGCTGGTTTGCCTCGATCGCAGGAGCGATCTTATCCGATTGAGAATCGGCGTGAATCGTGGCACTCAACCACTCTTCACCTCGGAGCACGCACACAGCATCGCTCCCCCGTGACCGCAGTCACCCAAGGACATAAAGTCCGCAGGCTTCGTCAACTAATGACTCCAGCCTCGCGAGCCTGGCTCGCATATGCACCGTCTAGGCGCCAAGTTTTGTGCACACGCACGAGGTTCTCCCACCGTCTCCAGAACCTGCCTACTGGCTCCGTACACTCTGTTATATAGGCGAGACCCACGTGACCTCCTACGTCACGCCACCCCCTCGCTTGTTATAACAGTGAAAGGCTTCTATAAGCCGGAAGACACCCAAAGCCTTGTGTCTCCCGTCTCCGCGTTCTTCCCTTTACGGAAAAACCCTTCTTCCTGTGGCAAGGCTAATCCTGCCAAGCGTCCCCAAATAGATGCCATGAGGCACGCCGGCTAATACGTTACAAGATGTTTCTGCTGCCACAGATGTCTTAATCGAAGTCCATTGCATTCACGGCGTTTCGACAATTGTGGTTATCATGAGGTGCTTGAGGTAACATAAATCTCTAGCAACCTGAAGATGACAATGGAAAAATTGTGGAAACTTCATAAATGCAATGTGCTTCAATAAATATAACTGTTTTTTTGTGTGAAATATACAATAAATGGTTTCTTTAATCAACTTGTGATCTATTACATTAATTTTGAAAAACCACCAGTTTATATTTATACAATTATGAATGTTTTCATGGAGCCACTTCAGCCAGACCGCTCATTACTTCTCTGGCTACTGGAGTTGATATCCTGGTCGATCCAGCTCGGAGTTATGGCGGGCTAAAGAGTTTCGCAGCAGGCTTTCTCGAATTTCTCCTCTCCCTTAGCTTCGCATCCCCCCACCAACACCGCGGTCGTTATTCACATCATCACCCGTGACCCATCTACGAGAATGATCCATCTCGAGTCGCCGGAAACTACGGAGTGTGAATCGCAATAGATTATAGTTTCCCATCCTCAATCATTTATTTTTCATCATCAATGACGCGTGATTACCCCATATTGTGCATCCAATAGAAACAAAAGGCAATGCACCATTGTGATCATTAACTCAGAAAAGTGGCGGACAAAACGTCGTAAATATATACTCTCTTACGCACAGGGTCCAAGTAAAGCTCTCATCAAATTACTTAATTTCGTTTTGGTGCCCATTTGGTGAACTAGAAGGTTGTATGTTTTGAATGGTCTCATTATTTAATATAATTCATTAAAATTAAAGATTTTACATGATTTTACTTTATTTTTTTACGTCAGAAAGTAGTCTTGAAAAAAGATTACAAAAATCGTACGATATTTTACATCGTAAAGGGGCTGTAAGTATTGAGAAAATATCCTACTTATTTATGAACGATCTGTAAAATTTATGCCCGTAATATGATAACTGATGAGCAATGAACATGAAGAGAGTAGTTAGATAAATAAAATGTCGGTCATACTGCAGAACCACGAGAAAAACTGGCGTTAGATTTCATTGCTCATCTCAAATTCTTCCTAACTGGTATTTTAGGTCCTGCACTTGTATAACTGACTGTTTGTTTATATATAATTGTGTGTTTGTACAAGTATAAACCATAAGTGTAAGTATATTATAGCGACCCTCATTTTGGAGAGGTGAATTCAAAGGTCTGAATTAAACGTATACCTCCCCTTTTTTACTTTCTCGCCTTACGAATTATTCGTAAGAAGAGAAAAGCAATGTAATTGTGCGCCAGAAAACGCTAAACTTTCGCCAGAAAAATCCTTATTTCCGGGTTCTGGTAACGAAAAAGTGGATAAATTCTAAAAAGAAAAAAAATCCTTTAGAAAAAAAACCATTTAACTCGTGGTGTAACTAGAATCTGTAGACAGAATCAGTTTTGTTGGTTCTTGATACCGAAAAATCGGTATCAACGGCAAAACTTCGCTTCTCCGTTTGTCTGTCTGTCTGTCTGTGGTCAAAGCTAGCGCTTAAACCATTCAGCTGATTTTCTCTAAAATTGATATTCCCTGATTTATGTGAATGAACTGGAGGCTTTGGGGATATTTTGATTGTTGAAGGGTTTTCGCAAGAATCTGCCATTTAACTTTTATGTTTTTGCCCGAGTTCTATCCATGCGGCACTTTATTGATATTGGCGTTGTGATATGAGTGCTGACGTAGTGGTATGAGTGCCAGCAAGTTAATTCTAAAGATATGAGATTGAGTCCCGAAGCAGGAAAAGAATTTGTTGTTAAAAACACTTTAGCTTATTTGTGTGGTAATATAATGTTGCGGAGTTTAGAGAAACAATGCGAGAACGTATGTGCTTAGTAGCCCCATTAGTTTGATACACCTGATAGTGATAGTATGCCGAATTTCTTTGCAATAAATTCACATTAAACCATGCCGGAAAGGACATAACTTTGTTTCTATTTGAAAAGTTTCTTGAGGTAAAAGTATTTACGTTTTGGCTTAAATAATATCAAAAAATAAGGAAAGTGTATCTTTGAATGTTTTTTAGAGCAAACATATAAATAACCTAAATAAACCTTGTTTGAAATTCTTTATGTCATATCAAAGGTACACAGTTTGAAAGGAAATCGAGAAAAACGTAAATTTGCGGTCAGTTTTGTACCGTAAATGTTACTCAAAAGATATTGTGACCTCGATTACATTCTAGAATCCTGGAAGTAGCAAGTTCAGTTTTTACAAGTAGTGGTTGAGTATGTTGGAGGTTGGAAGGAAATACAGTCCAGGATGTATGTTGTACTCATATCTAATCCAATACCCCTTTTCAGGTTAAAAGCATTCTCCTGGAAGGGTTTGGTTGCTAGTGAAGCTAAAATGCTCCCACTTCCAATCGTTACTTTAATGCGGTGGACAGCTATCCGGGGAGTAACTTATCACAGAGCAGATTGCCCTTGGAAAGCGACAATATTCATCGTGAATCACGCAGGCATAGATTTTTCCTTTTCAAATTCTTATCTTTCCCAAAAAGAAAGCCGTTTAGAAGTGTACAAATTTTACCCGAGTTAGTTTTAATATAAAGAATACTGAGCTAGAACAACTAGATTACGTATATTATTTATTTAAAAAGTATGTCTCTACAATACGAACTATTGTACATCACCAAGACGAGGAAGTACTAACTGAATCCTACTACGTTCAAAGATTTATTAAATGTACAGGAATGGTCAGAATCAATGTGTCGAATCTCTTACGTGATGTAGAGGAATCGAAGATCACATTGCTAGTGAACATGTGGGGCAGGGTATAGCCGAATAAGAGGGAGGGGGGTGAAAAGTGCCCTTAAACCAAATTGATAATCGTGATACTCCAATCAAAGAGAATAAAAATGCTGTAGATTACGAAAAATCAGCCTTTTAGAGCAAGCTGTTGCAGAGATACAACGAGAAAAGTATTTTTCGTGTTTTATTTTTTCGTAGCTTCTATTGTCTGTTTTAACCTGAAAAAAATTGCTAGCAAAGAAAAAAATAGTTGAATTTGCAGGTATTTTTGTCCACCAGTTTTGAAGTCAAATTTAAATAGAAAAAATAAATAAATTTTCAAAATTGGTTTTCAACGTGATTACGATGGGGTACTGTCTGTTGAACAGTACAGTTGGACAGTCTATTGGATAGTGGCAGTACTGTACATTGGAGTATCACGACTATCGATTTGAGTTTGGGTGCACCTATACGCTTGATATAAGAAAGTTATACGCATGACACAGTGCACTGGAATTCCACAGGTACAGGAAATTGATTTGGGTGCGTCAGATAGTGACCTACCAAAAACCAGTGCTTAGTAAGTATCCTACTAAACAGAAGCTAATGGCACATGCTTTGCCACATTTTATTACATTTCTCACCACATTCTCAATGGCTATAAGTCATCATCTTCAACTTCCAACATGCCGTAGAAGTGTGTAACATGAATATGAAATGCTGAATATGAAATGATTATGCATGCTGTATAAATATTTTCGGGAAACAAAATTACTTTGAAATACCCTGGGACGGTCAGAGTACATGAATGAATTAATTAATAATTCCAGCCGCGTCAACTGCTAAGGTCATAGTCCCGTAAGTGTGGTGTACGTTTTCATCGCTGAAAGTAGCGAGATCTTCTCCCGCTGGCTGGCGCGATCCAGCGCCGACCATCGTCGGTTTGCGGAGATTTGCTCCAACCAGATATCTCGCCATCGGTAGACCAATCCATCCGGGACAATCTCTATGCCCCGACTGGTCGCCCTAGAGGTGTGGTAGTGTTATGCGTGTCAGTGCGTTTGATTATTCCTGTAAGTGTAATGCATGTGTTTTGCTCTAGAGGTGGTGGTGATCTTTGCCCGATGGATAGAGAGATCCGGCACCGACCTAACGTCGGCTAACGGGGTTGCCCTTAGCCAGGTATCTCCCGCCAGTGGGCCACCGCCTTAGTCGGGACAAGCTCTAAGCTCCCGACCAGTCTCTCAAAACGTGTGGCAGTGTAGTGCATGTAAGTGTACGTTAAGGGGGATACGATTTATAAGGAAGAGGGAAAGATCACGCGCGGTCTGTGGCCCGTTTGTTAGGGTACTACTCCGGCATTCGCCCGGTGTTTTCGAAGAAGACATGGACAATTACCGATCAGAGTAGACGGTCGCTAGAATTCTCCTCCTGGCGGCCACTGAATTCGACCTAGCTGACAAGCTAATGTCGAATATCCTACCACCGTTGGGACTCGAGCCTAGTATCTCCCGGACAGCGATTTTGCAGTGACATCAGTTGATGTCAGCAGCTGAGTTTTACATAGTTATGTAGGTAGTGTGGAAAATCCTGCCACCGTCTGGACTCTGACCCAGTTAACCTCCCAGTTACGAACACTGCAGATACATCAGCTGACGCCGTGAACCCTGATGCTCCTTTGCCGGTCCGCGTACCTGGAAGTACTGCGCGATGTCGTAGTGCAGGTCTTTCGGCGCGAGCATGTTGGGCAGCTCTGCGAAGGCCGGGAAGACGGCGATGGCGAAGCGGCGGCGCAGGTCGGCGCGCAGCGTCTCCAGCGACGGCGCGCGCGCGCCCACGCCCAGCGCCTGCGCCGCCTGCTGCAGCGTCCCGTGGTAGAGCTGCAGCAGCGCGTCGCCGTGCTCGCGCCGCACCTGCGGCACGCACAGACGCGCCGGCTGACACAGAGGTTGGCACGTGCACGCAGCAACGTAGCTGGAAGAAGCTCTGTGCGTGATTAGTAGGGGTGGTCTCGTTGGTTTTACAGCGCACTGTCAGGACACGCTGAAGGCTGTCAATACGCTCCCGGAAATGTGTGTGCGCTATCAGTACACTCCCGATGCTCTTAATAAACACTCACAGCACGCTCTCAACACGATGGATACACGATCACGCACCATTTAAACACACTTTCGACGCGCTCCCACCACACCCCCAACACAATCCCCCAACAACATTCTCAACACTCAGCATGATCTTACCTCACTTTCAACACGATCTCACAACTTTTGACAGGCTTTCGGCACCATCTCGTCACGCTCTCAATCTCGACCCGTTTACATCGCGATCTCAACACATTCTCTAGTGCGCTTGTGCTACCTATCGCAGCGTCCCGTGGTAGAGCTGCAGCAGCGCGTCGCCGTGCTTGCGCCGCACCTGCGGCACGCGCGAACACGCCGGCTCGCTCAGAGGTTGCACGCTGAAAGAAGCTTAGCGCATGATTAGTGCAGGTGGTCTCATTGGTGATACAGCGCACTGCCAGGACACGCGAAATGCTCTCAATACGCTCCCGGAACTCTGAGTGCGCTATCAGTACACTACGGGCGCACATCATTTCGACATGCTCTCACAACACTTTTGACACGCTACCACCACACTCGACTCGCTCTCACCCAACACGATCTCACAACACTCTCAGCATGATCCCATTTTCAACACTCAAGCACCGCGGACTACATACTGTCAGTACGCTCTCGGCGCGTTCTCGGCGCGTTCTCGGCACGCTCACGAGAGGTTCTCGATCTCGATCTGATTACATCATTATCTCGACACGATCTCAACACTCACTCCAGTATGTCTATGCCGCCAGTTGGAGTGTCGCACCTACGACATGGGACACTCAGCGAACCACACCCAGCAACGCACTGGACTGTTGTACACAAGTTTGCGGGTTCAAACCCGATCGAAGCCGTGGATTTTTAAGGGCGAAAAAATCCTTCATACGCCTTCCTTCGGAGGGGAAGTAAAGCCGGCTGTCCCATGTTCGTAGATTTACTTGCATGTAAAAGATCCTCAAGCCTAAATGACGCCTCTGAGCTAAATTCAAGTCGCCTGTTTCTCGCCCAAGATACCTCCTTTCTCCGGTAGTTGGTGAAAGGAGCGTAGCGAAATTTGCGTGGTCAGACGGAAGAGCAGGCCTAATGGCCTGAGTCTCGCCACGTAAAATAAGGCATAATTCAATTCAATTCAATTCAATTTCAACGCACGATGTAAGAAAGTCCGCACATATTTAGAAGAGGCGTTCCCATTGTTTTTACATCTCTCCAAATACTCTCAATGCGCTACTACGATGCTGTCATTACACTCAGAGAACATTCCCAATACACTCTCTACACAAATTCTCAATACACTAACTGCACACTTTAAACGCGATCTCTACAACATTTCAACACGATCTCATTACATTCTTGACGTGCTCTCTCTACACTCTCAGCGTGATGTCACCACCCTTTCAACACAATCCCACAACAATCTCACCACGACCTCACTTCACACGATTTCATCACTCTCGATATGCTGTCGGCGCGCCCTCAGCAAGATCTCAATCTCGATCCGATTACAACACGATCTCGCATAATCTCAACGCACTCTCGAATAGGCCTGTGCCGCCTGCTGCAGCGTCACGTGGTACATCTGCAGTAGCGAGTCCTCAAGCTCGCGCGGCACTTATGGCACGCGCGGTCACGCTGGATCCCACAGCGCACTCTTGGCACTCGCGCACGATGCGAACGCATCAGTGCAGACCATGTCACATGTGTGTTGTTTACGTGCCTCAATGCAAGCTAGAAAGTGAGACATTGTTGTACAGTGTACCGTACTGAAATCTCACATTGAATTACGAACTTGGAAATGTTGTTCCGTCTGATTTGTTTTATAAATGCATGGCCAGCACCAGCGACCTGGAACCAAGTCTGATACGTAAGCCAATATCCCATCCGCATTAATCTTGTTCATATTATTTGAGTTATTTCAGGAACAACATTTTTCAGTTTTTTGTATCTTTCTACTGATTTCTAGGGTTGTAATTGATTAATATCTTCATTGTATTAATGTACACATTGATTATGATAAGATTATCATTAATTTAAAAATTGATTATTATCTACATTGTATTAATCTATTATATTTCCGAAGCATCTCTTTATCATTCAATTCCATTTTGAAATGTACAGAGTACTGCAATAGGGCCGACAAAACATAAATTTGAGATAGGTATTACCATGGATAGGGGGGAGTCATGTAGTTTAGATTTCTGAAAGAAAAAATATAATAACGGTGTAAAATATGTAGTTTATTCAACATTTTTGAATTGAAATCAGTCAACGCGTCAATCAATGTAGTGAATTAGTTCCCCCCTTCCATGGTACCCATCTCGTCCGCCGGCCCTGACTGCAATGGTTTCACAGACATCAAGATTTCAGGGGGCTCTGGGGCCGTGGGTAATTCTTTTTTTTGGCACTCTTACACCGTGAAATTTGCAATATGAAATAAAAATAAAAATAAGTGGTAAATGTGAGATAGACTGAAAAAAACTGTTACGAAACACGGACGAAAGTGTTAGATTACTCGTTAGAAATTTCAACCTCGGCTCCTGTCGTCGCCTCGGCTGGAAACATCTCACTCATACTGTAACATTGCCGTCCTTATGACGTTAAGTATTACTACAGAACTCGAAATAGTCTCAATAATTACTCAGAACGCTACTAATACGTGCTCAGTACACACCTAATAATCTTATAGTACGCTCTCAGTACATTCTAAACTCTCTCTCACAACACTCTCATCATGTTGTCATCAACTCTGACTTATTTCACAGCACTTTCAGCATTATCTCAAGACACTCTCGACACGTTTTCACCACTCTCAACACGCTCTCGGTGCACTCTCACTATTGGTCAGACCAAACGTGATTCAGGGAAGCATTACAACAACAGCATATTTTAGAAGGGCTCTGTAAACAGAACTCGATATCAGATTTAACTCGGTAATGATCAAAACCACAGAATTTGGGTTGAGATCGTAAAAATCATAGACTTGGAACAGTTACGTTCCCAGGTTGTATTTGAAACGCTGAACATAAATGTATATCTAACGATCAAAAATTCTTAGACTAATTATTATTATTATTATTATTATTATTATTATTATTATTATTATTATTATTATTATTATTATTACAAAAACATTATTAAACATCTTTAAGATGTAAAGATTTAAAGACGAAAGAGTTGTTGCTTATGGCTTTAGAATGATTTTCTATACGTGTGCAGGCGTAGTCGAAGTAAACGGAAACAATAGAGCTGGGGACACACCGAAGATGCATTCTCTTTAATTTTTGTTCCGCACTGAACGTCAAACGCTGGTGGCGCGCTCAGGTCGCAGAACTTCCAACTTCATAAACGAGAGCGATGAATCTCGTTTGCTGCTCGCACAGTGTGTGTACTCCGCTTAATGCCAATGAAGACGATGTGAAAGTTCAGTGCTGACGCTCCGTTCACAGTGGTAAGAGGCTGAGCACACCGGTTTCCAAACCGGCAATGGGTTTAATTCCGGCTGGTGGCGATAGATTTTCGTGAGTCAGGAGCGTCATTATGTCACGCTTGTGGCTTTTAAAGGAACCCGACAAAATTGAAAAGTCCCCGGTAATGTCCCGATCTAACAACATATCACCTGTAGCATTCAAGGTATTATTTATTGAGTCCGACATCTTGCGGAGAACTGAGTCACGCTCAGGAGATGCTCATGGCTGCCTGATCAAAAGAAACATAAAACTCGACTCACACCGGGAGAAGTCTTGGAAGGAAGACTAGGTCGATAATACGGGTGCGGAACATGCCAATAGCCGTCTCCTTGAACAACCTTGAAAGAAGAAAGTAAATTAATAAATTAACAGATAATGTGTCGTCACGCTCAATTTACTATATTTCTTTTGTTGCGTCAGAATTGTAATAAAAGTCGTGTTACTCTCCCTCGCCTGTACTTCAATTTTTCTATAGTGGCAGATGATGTCCGTTCATTGTTACACCTAGTACCTTTTAAAATGAATATTTTTAACAGTGAGAAGCACATTTCTGAGGCCATGAGCTCCCTTCAGAAGAACGTTCGTGGATTTATTACAAAGATTAATTTTGTAAGGCAGGAGGTGTAACGATGACCTAATGTCATCGGCCACTATAGAAAAATCGAAGTATAGTCTATTTCCTTCGAGTTGCAATGTCACATTTGGGAAAACTGAATCTCGTCAGCTACTACGAGTTAAAATGTTGAGCTGTGTGCAATGCCCGTACATGGGCAACCGCTGTCAAGTTCAGTTCCTACCTAACAGAATTGCTTAACAATATTAGAACAGCGGCATTATGCTAAACTTATGTTCATGCATCTGCTAATATATATGTGTTTTTCACATTCATCACCATATAACAAGGAGATCACAAACTTTTTACTTTCCCGCATACGTACGTACATACAGAGTATTATACGTAGTGTAAGGAAAGTCATGTAATGCTACGGAATATCGATTTCGAGATTTCAACGGAAATACACGTTTTGGGGCCCCCTGGCAGTGGAAAAGTAGTTCTTTTCAAAACGTCCGACTGTCTGTCTACTCAACACGGAAAACACACAAACAACAACACACAAAAAACAACAACTTTTGGAAAACAAAAAGTTTGTCGCAAATATGGCTCCAATTTTTTTCTTTAAATTTCTTGTAGGAATAGAGTAAAAGACACTTATAAAGATGGAGTATGTTCAATTTTCAGGTTTAACTCGGAATTTTCGAAAATTTCAAATTTTCGGGCGTCTTAATATAACTACAAAATTGAAGATAGAGATGTTTCCATATAATTTGTTCTCCATAGTGAGTTCTTTCATTAAGGTCATGTGCACTTTTTTGAAAATTTTAGTTGTTATTGCGCAATATTGCGAGCAATATGTGCAATTTTTAAAAAATAACCAAAACAAAATTTCTCAAAAAACGGCTCCAGTTCTTTCTTTAAGCTTAAATAAAATTTCTCAAAAAATCAACAATTTTCTGTGACAAGCTCAAAATTCCGCATTTTCAGAAATGCTCTAATGCCAAAATGCTTCAATTTTTTTCTTCGAGCTTTTCGAACGGATAGTAGTAATTGTACTCTTTAATATGACGTTAAGTTCATTTCGTTTTTTTTTCAAAAGTTTCACTAATGTAGTTTCTTTGAAGATCTCTCACGCCATTATTCTGCACATTTCCAGCAATTTGTAATCACTATTGTAATTGTGAATTAATGAACTTCAAATTACTTCGAAGTTTTTGGAAAACACAAAAACTTTCTGTGAAAAAGTGCTTCAAATTCCGAATTTACAGCAGCGTTTAAACGTCAGTTTTTTAAAAACGGCTCCAAATTTTGAAAAGAAAATTGCCATTTAGAACGAGGTTTTACTGTTATTTAATTTTCTAAAAATAATATTTCCGTCCTACTACTGGGAAACCGAAAAATTAAGAATTAAAAGACTGTACTTTGGGCGGCAATAGATGGCAGCTGACAATAGTATGGGGCAAGTCTGAGTGGCCAGCCGAAACCAAAGGAAATAGAAAACTAAGGGACACTTCGTGCCATTCTGTAGCCCCACTAGTTCCTTTATACTAGGGTCATAATGAATAAAGAAAATAACAACTGATGTACTCCGTTGTTTCGTTTGTTTATTTGTCATGCCAGTCCTTAATTGTATTGTCCGATCATACTTTCAAAATATATATTCATAAACGCTAAGAGACAATAATATTAACCCGTTCAGTTTTCGATCTTTGGTACAATTATGGTACTACAAGTTATATCTGAATAATAGCTCACATTTTATTTTTAGACATTATCCTGCAACTGTTGTCCCAAATCAAGCTTATTTTACAACAGAAGCGAGACCAAATGTGATACCAGAAAATAATAACACAAGGTGATGGCTAGTTCAAGCACTAGTCATCACCATCGAGATTCAAACCCAGATGTCCTGATTTACGTCCAGGTGCATCATAGTAATTTTAAACCAAAAATTCTAATATTGTTTCTAGAATAACTACGAAATGGGATCAAAAATTATATTTCACAAAGTTTTACAACACTTTTCGATAATATTTAATTTTTGACAATTAGTTTTTGATACATAAGAGCCAGATAAGTTGTACAGATGGATCGGAAATAATTTATACAACTCTAGAGAAAAAAAGCATATTGATGGCACCCAATACTTAAGTCGCAAATGTTACATGAACAGTCCAGACATATTGTTGCCTAGACGCTAAGATCATACATGTTTTGTCACTTTTTCCTGTAGCTGTCTTAGTTTGTCACTTCGTTCTTTCACCACACATTACTACGTAAGTAGTAAACAGAAAGTATTGTAATCGTGCGGCGGGAATCGGCCATTTTTCGACAGATACACCCTCATTGTCGGAAAAGTAGTTAATTATTTTAGCTATATGCGGTAAATTACTTACTCGTAGTGTAATCAGAATCCATGATTTGTAGATCCTTGATCCCCAAACATCGATTGATGGTATAACGTCCCTATCTGTTCTGTCTGTCCATCCGTCCGTCCGTCTGTGATCAACGCATTAATTGCTACCAAATTCACTAGCGTTGGAAAATAAACGCATCGTCCATCTTCTACAATAATATTGTAAGCCATATATCCATGCCACCATGTCAAAGATACTCACTGAATTTTCTTTTAAAATCCAAAATTGTTTCAAAGCCATACTGGACATTATCACTGGTTATATTTCCTTGAATGCTGACGAGTATCCGAGCATTTTTGTAGGCTTGATGGTATGCGCACCTGCTAACGATTTTCGATAAAATAGAAGTATTCTCCTTCCGAAGAGCCATCGAAAATGTTGTCATATGACTCAAGAATATCCTCCTTGCGTAATCCAAGATATTCCGGAAAAATACAGATCTCTGGAGAGTGGTTCGTAAAACGTAAAGCAGCAAATGTAAGAGCCGCCTTTTTCGGTGTAATACTCAAGGAAAAGACAGGATATTTTTGTGAAAGATTCTCACTCGTCTATTGAACTTTATCTTAAGATAATTGCCAAGGTATTGTTTTGTTTCAAAGATGTGATTCCCATATCAAATGATCATGAACCTAGAAATTATGAAAAAACAACTATAACTTTAGATAAGTCGAACTCTACAGGAAATGCTTTCCATGATGGGCAGCAAGCATAGTTCCAGTAAGTTTGATAAGATAAAACAAACAAGACTTGTTTAGAGCGCACGGCTGTACAGAATAAGAAGCCGTCAATTCGACGGCTATTGGATGTGTAAGCAAACAGAAAAAAACCTATATTCGATGAAAATATTTTCAAATTTCTGATATTAGCCATCTCTTTAACGTCACGAGATCCCAATTTCTCCACGCTCATTGTACATAACAAATAACACTTGGATATTCTCCATTAAAATTACACAAAAACGAACATTTTTACAAAAACGTTTATTTAATTTCTGCATCACATAGAAGTTTTGTAGAAAGAGGTATCTGAATTCATGTTAATTTTCTAAAATTTTATTGAAATAAAAATATTTGAATAATATTTATTTATAGTAAAAAAAGTAAAATCTTTATATTACGTTAGGGAGCAGAGCACAATCTGCACGTCCTCTTAAGCAACGAAATGCATATCACCTCTCTTGTATGTAATATTTTGTATCGGGGACGTGCATGCATTCTAATGAATTATTTGAATGCATATTTTATTGCCAAAGAATAATTGTGTTTGTCATAGTAAAAATATTTTTCACACATTTTCATATCAAATTAACTGTAAACTCTGAGTTCATATCTACAAACTGAAATGTCATTTGTTATAAATGATATATTTCCTCGATCGATGGTTTTAAAATGGAATATTATTTGTGAATTCGTCCATAATCATCGCCAAAATACAAAAAGTGTAATTACCGTTTCTACATCCAAAATATTTGGACTGCTGTTTATTTTGAAATATGTAACTATGAATTTCAGAAAATATGTACACTATATTTGTTATAAATTTCTTTCACTATGGCCGTGAAAGCTTACGATTAATGTACATTGTATTTATTTACAGCCTCCTAGGTTATTTCAGTATTAATGAAGACGGTATTTATTAAAACATTTAATTTATTTTAATAATTATTGCAGTAATTATATAACGTATTTGCACTATTTAAGAGACTTTTTTCAGGCACGTAAAGTAAACTTCAGGGCCAAAATATTGAAAGTCTAGACACACATATCTATAAAAAATGATCTGTAACAATGAAAAAAAGTTAATCTTAAGCTTTTCTTTCTTAAATTTGCCGTAAAAGACCATAGTCCAACAGATTTGTCGGTTGATCTTACTCCATCGTGTATATCATACCCTACAGAGGTGAAATTGCGATGATAGCACCTCACACTAACGATACAATTAGTTTTGCAAATGAAAGGGTATCCTCCTTCCACATGTATATTGTGTTTCCTTGCTTGTTATAAGGCATTTTAAATAATGCTAGAGTTTCTATTGTTATGTTGTTCACTCTTTAACCTTGAGAAGCACCTCCGCTTTCGAATCGTAGTAACACTACAAAAGAATGCATATTCTACCATAACTCGTTACATGATGAATTAGTACTATTACTGAAAATCCACAACTCATACTAACTGCTCTTCATTAAAAAGGAACATAACATAAAATAAAAGAAGAAATTCCCCTCACCTCGTCGGCGGGGCTGGTGTAGAGGAAGTAGAGCAGGTCGAGCGCAGGGGACGTCCACACGGCGTTCTGCCAGTCGATGAGCGCCACCTCCAGGTCGAGCGACGAGGGCCCGTCGCCCTTCCGGAAGAGCACGTTGTTCACCCACAGGTCTCCGTGGTTCAGCACGTTGAAGCTGACGTCGTCGCGGGCCACCGCCGCCGTGATCATGTCCCAGCACTTGTCCTCCAGCGCAGACACCCTGCGCACGCGTTCGTACACTTTTACTTTCTCGCGGCTGCTTCGTCGATGTGGAATTATATGTACTGATGAAGAAAAGAGTGGCGTTTTTGACAGAGAAACGGGTTTTGGGGGCTTCGTAAACCGAAAAATTCATTTACTTGCTCCGTTATGTAGCCAATTACTATCTTGAATACTAGTGTAATCAGAAATCAAATTTTGTGGGCTCTTGATCCAAATCAGTGTTTTTCCCAGGTGACTTTCCTGCCTACCTGTCTGTCTGTCCGTCCCTCCGTCCGTCCGTCCCTCCGTCCGTTCGTATGTTCGTCCGTTCGTCCGTTCGTCCGTCCGTCCGTTCGTCCGTTCGTCCGTTCGTCCGTTCGTCCCTTCGTCTGTTCGTCCGTTCGTCCGTTCGTCCGTTCGTCCGTCTTGTCTGTCCGACCGTCTTGTTCATAGGTCTGTCCGTCTCTTCACCCGTCCATCAGTTCGTTCGTTCGTTCTTTCGTTCGTCTCTCCGTTCATCCGTTATCAGTTTTTATCATTGTATCATTTATTTATGTGCTGTCATGTAGTCTACAAAAGAAACTGCTATTTTGAAGAACCAAAGAAAGTATACGACTGAATAATTCATCCATAGAATCCCTACCTTTTCAGCAAGTAACGCTTTATGTGTTCCAAGATGAGAGAAAAACTTATATTTTAATACAGAAACTAAACTAAATAATCTTCATTATTATACAACTTTTTTGCAGTTAATTTGTCAATTACGCAGAAAGAAGACGTAGATTCACAGAAGACCGTTAGTAAACACATCTCGAATGAGATTAGGGTAACGTCTTGCAGAAACTGACTCCTGAATATTGCGCACCTCCCTCTTGAGTCCCTCTACCTCATGCCCCCCTTGCCTTCGGCATTCGCTACCGACTCTTCCATGACACTCCCCTTTCCCTCCCTACCTCCCCCTCCCCCTCCCCATCTCCCTTCCCCGCTACCTCTCTCTCCTCCTCACTCCGTCTCTGTACCTACATATCTGCCCATCCCTCTCTTTCCCTCTCCCACAATCCTCTCCTCTACCCTCTCTCTCTACCTCCCGACCCTTTTTCTCTGCTCCCTCTCTTTTTTCAGACTCTTCTCTTTTCCTCTCTATCTCACCTCTCGACTCATCTGTTCAACCGTCTCTCTCGCCTTCTCTCCCCTCTCTTCTCTGTCCCTTTCACGCGCGCGCGCACGCACACACACACACACACACACACACACACACACACACACACACACTCCTCTTTTTTGTTTCTTTGTTGATTTTTGGATATGGGCAAGAAAATATGGGAAACGATCCTGAAGCATCTGTATTACTGATTTCCACACGTTATTACAGTATTTGTAACGAATGTCTTTCTTAAACAATTTATTTCAGTGTAACACGAGAGCATTTTATTAGTTGTTGTTGTTGATTAGTGAGCGTACTACTTCTTGGAAACCTATTTTGCGCCGTTTAGTCCAGCAGCATATTCGTTGCCGCGAGTCACTAGTAACCTCCAGAGCAAGTAGACCCGAAGTGCGCGCGACGTGCGTGCTTCGCGTAGCGCGGGCCACTAGTAAGCTCTAGAGCAAGTACACCCGCCGCAGCTTCTCGCAGAACTCTGCGAGCAGCGGCGTGAGGCTCCCAGCGGGACGAGTGAGGCCCCGCCCGTAACAATTGCCAGGGCACATTGTGCCTAGCCGCCACGGACGCTTGGAGCAAAGTCGGCGCCGTTGCGCACATAGTGTAAATAGTGTCTAGGATGTACATAGTGTCGAGTGAAAGTGCGTGTGTCAAGTGTCAATAGAACATAGTGTGAATGAGCGTGTGAATGTGCGTGTGAATGGAAAAAAATCCAAGAAAACTAAAACAAATAAGCATGTAGTAAAATACAAAGTCATGTGCTAATCTTAGGTTGCCGGCCAAAGTGCCGGCTTCATCCATAGGTTAAGTTAGAAATAAGTTAGTAAGTAAGTTCTGCCCCCTTTTTTGCCGCATAAGCCATAGAGCTGCGGTGTATGTTGTACCCCAAGAAGGAAATAAACTCCCGCCTCGCCAGGGTTACTGGCGGGGGGAAAGTTGAAAAAAGTACACCCGCAGTGCGCGCGACGTGCGTACTTCTCCGCGTAGCGCTCCCACTCGGGCCACTCGCGCAGCTGCAGCGCCAGCTGGCGCACGCCCGCGCGCAGGTACGTCTCGAGGAACTGGCGCGTGGTGTCGCGGAACAGCGACTCGAGGAACGGGAAGACGGCCGGCTGGTTCTGCGAGTACATGGCCATGGAGGCCGCGTGCAGCAGCGCCATGTGCTTCACCACGGCCTTGCTCTGGTCCAGGTCCAGCCCCACCTTGCGGTCCGCCAGCTGGAAGTCCAGCGTCGACATGTCCTCCATCACCTGCAACACGCGCGGGTCGCTGTCAATTCGTTGTCGAGCGGATCCGGTAACCCCTTTTTGGCAAGTGAGGTTCTGTTGATTCGTACTGTTATGTAGGTTGATAGCATAGCTTACGATTCGCCCAAACGTGTGAAGAAACTACTTCATTCCCTTCGTTCTCACGAATCCGTGTTGCGATGAGGCATTGCTTCACTAAGGCCTTGTTTGCGTTGATCCACCTACTCTCGTACAGCGCCGACTTACATTACCGGCTGCGTATAAGCGTCTCTGACAGTTCTCTCGCCACGTGCTGGGGTACGTTACGTGAGGTCCTCTGAAGCAATCGGCTTGCGAGAATTTGTTTTCTTTCTCAGAGCCAGGATTCAGCGTCGCCGCTCATCTAGGGGAAGTAGGGGAGGCGATTATGGTTGGGTATGGTGAAGGTTATGATCATGATAACAAGACGGGTCATTGCTTGTCGATAAGTGTTAATGTTTTGAAATTTATAGGTCATGAAGATGGTGCCATGTACGTAGTAATGTGTGGCAACAGCTCACTGAACTATCAGATTTGCTTAAATGCTACCAGTACTGTAGTTCATCACTGCTCCGACACTGCTAGCGCCACACGACAGCAACGCTCCAAAGAAAAGGTCGCGCGTGCTATTAAATATTTGTTATTTACAAATTGGAAAATCGAGTAGCATATTGTATTAGATTTGGTATGTTGGCCGAAAGCCTGTTTAATAATTTTTTTATATGAAACAATCTTGCGTCGGTTCAATGAATAATATCACACACATTTTGTGGCAAATATTTTAGGAGATGATGCTTTTGCTCACGAATTTTTAAGTGCGCAGTTGTCTTTGTACGATCTAAAATTGTATGACATTCATACGTCGAATTCTATGAACTTTCATATTGTTTGTGCACACAAAGATGAGCCGGTGGCCGAGATCGCTAAGGCAGTAGGGAGCTTCATATTTCACGGTACCCATGCAGAACTCAAAGCGAAATCTGACAAATATTTCTTACAGTGAATTGAGATATTGAGGTTCTAGTACCTCACCGATTAACATTCACGCCTCTGAGACACTTCCAAACAAGGATTTGGAACAGTTCAGAGACGGGAACGTGCACAACTTTCCGACAAGATATACGTTGACGAAATTTCAAAATTACGAAGAATGCTTTCTACTGGTCTCCGTGCCTCTAAAGGACAAAACTGTAAGGGAATTATGTATTTGTAATATCAAGATGATCATGATATTTATTTTTTACGCTTGAAATAACTTATCCTGTGCATCATCCTGGAAACAAAAAGCATACTTAGGTAAAGGACAATTAGAATATACTAGTTAATGTTTTTAAGTAATGAAGCCTATTGAGTCTCGCCACCTAAAATAAGGCATTAATTCAATTCAATTCAATACAATACAATTCAATTCAATTCAATATTGATGAAACAGTTTATAAGACTTACTAGACTCTTACTACACTCTCGGGGATACCGCTTTGTGTAAAATAAACTGTGTTGAAAAAAAACTGGAATTATTAATTTGAAAATTTCGTTTGCATTAAAATGCCGCTACACGTGTACAAATAAAATGTTGAAACGTCATATTACTTCGTAAGCTTTATCATCTTTTGCTTCTCAATACCTCAGGCTGAGCTGGAATGTTTACTTATTGATAAGCTGAACATATCAAAAATCTAACAATGATAAAATGTGATGAATTTGTTCAAAGAGTAAATATTAGATTAGTCTAAGACGAGTAAAGTATCAGTGTTTGCCACGACTACAATGGGGCAGACAAGTTGATTTTTTTCGACGATAGGGCGCTCTAGCGGCAGCAGTCCAAAATAATCTGCTGATAAAAGTTTAAGCTTGTGTTGCTACATATACAGAGTAAAACGAGAATACTATGCAATATATTAATTTGGAAATCATATTAATACTATCTGCATACGGTTTCAAATCGTTTGGTGTAATATTCCGACAAAAATTTTAAATAGAAATATAGGAAAAACTAGTTGGGAGTTTTCACGTGAATGGTGATAAGGAAATTTAAGACGTTAACATCAGCAGAATTTCTGATGTTTTGCGAAAATCTCCTGCTGCACATAGCACTAAACAAGCAACATATAAACTAGCAATTCATTTACCTATGCTCAATGTTTTCTGATATAGTACTAAGGGAATGTGTACTTTAGTCACATTGGTTTTTTATGAAATAAAAATAGTTTAATGACGTAATATTTTTATCTTTCTGAAGAAATATTTCAATTATTTTAATTAAATGATTACCTATAAATAATATATTTAGCTTTGCAAACACAAAACATAATTTTTCTGTATGTTTATTTTGGTCTTCGTATAATTTGGTATTACATATTAAATAGTGATTGCTGTTGCAGAGGTGACCAAAGAGGGCATTGGGCAGCTGATCATCGAGGACAACTCCTTTCAAACACAAAAATTCCCTCCTCCCCCAATTCATAAACAAAATGCATTACTCCATGCATCAGAAATAACTTGTAGCAATAAATTTAGATTAAAGATTAATACTCGCTTTATATCAATTAAATGAAAAAAATTAAGGGCCCATCTTACGTCGGGACTTGGGGCACGTTGCCCTAGCTGCCCCCCTTCCAGGTCACCACCCCTGGTTCTTAGAAAGATAAACCAATGATTTGGAATCGACCTGTTAACGTCCATTTGGAGATGTACCTCAATGTTCGCGAATCGAAAGCATTTTTCCATCTGCTACAAAAAGTCGAATTCACTTACTTTACAAATGTGACAATGTTGTTCACATTTCTTCAGCACGTTTTTTGGAAGATGTTATGCCAAGTAGGGTGGTAAAAATAGGATTACGTTGTTAAAAAAATCGAGAAGAAAGGCTTGAGAGAAAACAGAGGAAACATATTAAAAGAATGGGTAAAAGAATTGTGCGATCTTCAAATAAACAATAAAATTCACTATGAAGTTCTGACATGTAACATTAAACACTTTAAAATTAAATTAAATTGTAAATTAGTGTATGGGCAGATGCATTTTTCTGAAAATTATCAGAGTAAGTGAAAAACGATTACTCAAAATAGGTCTTAAATCGCACGCTCATTTTTTTTCATTCGTGGGTTCACTCATAGTCGTTTTTTTTTCTACGCACAGATTCGCTCAAATACACCAACATAAACGGTGGAATACAATTGCGGTCACCGACAACTTACAACTTTTGCCACAAGATGGCGCTTCTAGCGTTCCGTGTCTGCCCCATAAGAGGACATACATCTTTCTCCTGGAAGTAATTACTAGACCCCGGAACGTCATGAACTAAAAAAGTTAAAAACATGCACTTAAAGTTGACAATATATGCACTTAAAATAGCTAAAATTTGCGCTTAAGCTAGGAATATGCATTAAACAAAAATATACTTAACAACAGATACCATTTATTTACATAACCTTTAATTCACACTGTAGTACCAAATTCGAATAATAAAAAATATTTTTAATCATTCTAATACACAAAAAATATTGAGTGAAAGAAGCAATAGCACTGCTACATGATGTTGCAACGTGCACTACGATTGGTAGAGGAAATGGGGTTGCACGGAGGCGACGCCGTAAACGGTTCCACGTGTGACGAGTAAGGGGCAATAAATCTGTCGGAACGTCCATCCCTCAAAACCACCAGAATGCGAACAAGGGGGCACGTGCCCATCCATAAAAAAAGACCATAACCAATCCTTTACCTCCCTCCTCTATCGAGCGGGGGTGCGACATAAACCAGAGGTTCAAAAGACCATCAGCACCCACGGCGACCAATTCGATACGACAGCACAGCTGTGAACAGTACGTGCAAAAACCCTCAGCGTCTTTCAGCAAAGAGCAAAAATACGAGACTGAAAAGAACCCATCTCGCAGGCGACGTGCGTGCGATTCGTTCCGAACATACGGCTGCGAACAATACTGGAACGCTATGAGTTGAAGTTGCCAATCCGTCACGCATTCCGACGCTTGCACTGCGTATTCTACTCCGAAGTCTTACATTCCGAATACACATTAGATTTGCACAATAGGTGTTGGCACATTGACCGCCAAATTACTTCAAATTTGGCGCCTTGGATTTTAGCAGGGCATTTTGATGTTCTTTGAAGGCGTTTCAGAGGAAAGGATTACACATTTCAAACTTGGCGCTTCGGAGTCTTAATTTTCCCCAAAAAGTTCTCGAATTTCTTCTCTGTTGACCAAATACTCATTTCTTTCATACAAAGTTTCTTGACGTAGTTTGTCAGCTGTTTCCTGTTCGGAGCGTCACCGAAATATCGCACCAGCTCCTGGGCAGCCCCGCGTAAAATTGCAATTGTCGCAATACTAGGTAGTCACCGATTTTATACCTCAGACGCCTGCTCGCATTGTCATCACAAGCTAATGCAGAAAGCTGAGTAAAAAACACGAAATTCGTAAGGAAATTAATTTCCTTTGGAAAGAGGTAACAGTGACAATTTCTTCAATACTCGTTAATTCTTTCTCCAAGTAAAAATATTTGTCAATTGTGTGTCGTCTCTTTTCCAGAACACTCTTGTCTGACAAAGAACTACTGATAGAAGAATTGATGTTGCGTTGCAGCTTGTATAAAAATGTCACTGTCAATTCTAAAACGTCGATCAGACGTGTAATACCAACCAATCACCTACCTCTCCCGCAAGCGAGCAATAGAGTGTAGAATTCTTGAAACCACATGGACAAATTGCTATTCGCCATCAACAACAGAATCACACGCAAACTGGACAGCCCTCTAAGAGGAGGTGTCCGAAAGATAGTGAAAAGGAAAAGGGATTCCCACTTTAGGTGGGTGGTGACAAGCAGGTATTTTATGCACTACATTTCTTGTTATCCAACGCTGTAATTAAGTAATGAATTGAGGGCCTTGGATATTATTCTCTTCAGTTACAAGCGGTGTTATTTCACGACAGAAACATAATATTTCTTTTAACTGGCCTTCCAGTGGTCACGTTTCACGCATTTTGTTTTTACAATAAACGCCAAAGCTGAACTGGAAACCAGAGATTCTGCAAAGCTCACAATACAGGAAGTCATACTTTTCCTCCGAAAGCTATGACATCTTCTGGTAGGAATTTCGTTCTTCTGAACTACATACATTGTGTCCAGTCTTTGGTTCAAGAGCTCGTTATTAAGTGATAACACAGGTAATGTGGACGTTCGTAAACTTGTTTTAATGTAAACGTGTTTTACGCGCCTTTTTGAGTTCAGTGCGTATCATGTACGCACACGCGTGATTTAATCATTAAATAATGTATATAGACTATAAACATTATTTCTTGTATACCTCTGAAATTATTTACCTCTTGAATTATTCAGTAGCGTACCATTTCTTCTAAACATTTGAAACAATATTTTCTAAACATTTGAAAGATTTTATCGCGAAGGTTGATAAGCTTCAGGAGTGGAGAAAACTATACAAACTTGCATCTTGAAGCGTAAGGCAAGCTCAAACATACAAAGTAGAATATTTCAAGTCAAGCCGTGATAACTGCCTTATATTGCACACTAAGACGCACAAAAGAAGACAAATGAAGACGCAGTTTTTAGTTATTGACAGAATAAAGTGACGTACTGGAGTTGACACAAAATTCTTACAGGAAAAAGAATGTAAAGTACAGATAAGAACTGCTTAGGCACTCGGATCTAATACATTCAATCTATAGAGAAGTCTAGATTGTTCTACTTTAAATGCAGTAATTTTACATATTAGGAATTTGTAATACTTTTTGTGTCATTCTGCAATTTTTTGTAGGAGGAAGATGTAGAAATGTAATCCGAGTCCCCTTACCGCTCGAGTTTATCAGTAGTTCCATCCCGTCAAGGTAGCATAAACTTAAATGGTGAGTTTTATCATCGATGAGTTTGTGGCACCTGTTGGAAACAAACTAGCAGATCTGCTCTCAGCGAACTAGCAAAAACGAACTAGCAGAACTGCTCTGCTAGTGGTTTTCATTGTTTACCTGATCAATTCCAGGGGAATGCCGGAGCAGCACTCACTCGGTGACGCTCCGAAGCGTCGGACTACGGATCGCTCACGATATTTCCTCCCATCATCTCCATCTTTCGCGGAGGAGTACATCCCGTCCTAACTAGTAACTATTGTAGCGTCGATCCTCGCTCAAACCGCCGGATGTTGAACAAAGGGCGGAGTGATGACGCACTGGGACTTTCCGTGGACGTACCGGGCCCAGAGCGGCTTTGGGGAGGAGGCAATGGGGCGGCGGGTAGAGCCATAGGGCCTATATAAAGGCCAGGAGAACAATGCCCCAGTCTTCTTGTGCTAGCGGCGTCGGCGACAGGTGGAGCGCGTGTCTGTGCGTGTAGGTGAACTAGGGCGAGGGGCCAGCAATTCATTGTCGTGACTTGAGAGACGCGTAGATGGTCTCAAAGTAGAGTGGCTTCATACAGGGAATGTCGGTGGTATGTTGCGGTGTGGTAGCCGTTCTTAAATTGTCTCTCCTTGTAGTGGGTCTATTTATTTACTTTATTGTGAGCAGTGTAGCTGTTAAATTGAGACTACGGTCTAGATTGTTAATAAATCTACTGTTTTACAAACCACTCTCGTCTGTTTTCCATTACACCCGTATGACGCCACACTAGTCATTGATTAGTATTTCCGGGTCAAACAAATTTCCAGTCAAACAAACCCGGCAGACAGCGTATTCACTCACCAGCTCGGTGCGATCCAGCGACGCGTACACGAAGTGCGGCCAGAACGGGCGGAAAGTCTCTCCGTACGCGCCCCGCAGCAGGCGCAGCATGGCCGGCAGCGCCGACGTGTAGGCGGCCGCCTCCACCTCGAACAGCCTGGCCTCCCGCAGGTACACTTCGCGTTCGTCTCCTGTGCGATAGCAAGCACAATTTTACCAATCTACTAGAGAAATAATTCAATATGATACATTTGTCTACATACTACGTAATAATGATGTCAGTTAAGAAGTATGAGAACCATATCACGAGTTCAAGAATGATTTAGATGGGTTGGTGATAAAGAGGATACGGTATAAAGGAAGACACAGGGATGGTGTAATTGGCAGGGGAAACTGTCGAGAGAAAACCTCGATTAGGTGGAAATGGCAGTATATTCGTAACTGTGTACGAAATCTGACTAAAATATATTGATTTTAACTCTGCATATTTTAAGGGGAGAAACGACCCCCTTTCACTTTCTCCTTGGAGCAGCCCACGGTATACGTATAAATTTGTTTCAACAAATTAAGAACATTTGCTACAGTTCAGTTACAACATAACAAGCTTAACGAACATCACTCTATGACAATTACAATAATACAGGTATACAAAATGAACATCATTAAAACGAGAGTTTGTGCTTTATCTCTTTTATGTTCCATAAATACATGAAAGCAAAAGAGCTATCTTGAATGAAGTGACACCCGGGCTATATATTCCTTAATTTAATGAGAAAATCTGAACGGGATGCGATTGGCTTTTGCCTTTTTAGAAGGTAAGTAAAAGCCGTAGAAAAAGTTGACCGCGACATTCAATCGGGATATGCCCTAATTGGTGACTGCATCCCGCTGTCAACTTTTCCTAAGCATTGCTCCTACCTCCCCAAAAAGGAATAGCTCGACTGCAACCTGCTCCGTTTCACCCTTAATGTAAGGATTAATTACCGTAGTCTGCTTGGTATTATATTGATCGATTGAAGGATTAATCCATTTCTGTCTGCTTTTAAGAAATATTTCCTCGCCATTTTAGGGCACTGCCAACGTACAAATCTACTTTTAAAAGTCTGTGGAATCAAAACTATCACGAACATTATCTCTCACCGCTGACTTACCACCCACAATTCTGAAGATTCCAACGTGTGCACTTGTATTCGAGGTTTTCTCTGGACTGGTTGGAGAACATATATTTGCGCTACTTATGATGAGAAACTTAACACAACTTTTTCATTCCTTCCGAATCACTGATGAACAAAAATGAATGCAGTCAGGCTATGCCTCCTTAGGCATCTAAAAGTGAAATGCGATTAGCGGAGAAGCAGGGCTGAGGATAACTGACTGGGGGATGGAGTCGGGCTATTCCTCAATAATTCTCATCGGCTTAGGTGACTCATCAATTGATGTCACTGCAGCGTTTCTAACCGGGAAAGTCTAGGGTTCGAGTCTTGACGATGGCGGACAAACTACATAGCTATACTTTGGTTTTTATGTCTTGGCGCGTGAGGGTCTGTCTTCACGATGGAATATCACATGGCATTTTACGTCTTTCTCGATAGTGCCGCTAGATGCCGCATGATTGCCAGCACTGCTTGATAGGCCGCGATCATGCAACATCTAGCGGCGCGACCGAGAGAGACGCGAAATACCGTGAGATATTCCATCGTGAAGATAGGTCCTCTCGGGCCAAGAATTAAAAACCCAAGTACAGGTCGAGTTCATCCATTGTCGGAAGAGAATTCTAGCGACTGACAGTTCAGTAATCTCCGAAGTTTTCCGAGCAATGCCTGGCGAATGCGATAGCTGTGCTTTAAAAAACGGGTCACGGACCGTGCGCGATCTTTCCTTCCTCGTCCTTGTCCCATACTCACCCTACACACTTACAATCACTACACTATCACATGTCGGGAGAACAGTAGAGAGCTTAGAGTGGGAGAAAAGCCCGCACGTCGCCGGATCTCGACGTCCAGCGGAGAAAGATTACCCCTATCTACTGCGATAAAAATATGAACAATGCAAACGGGACTAATGACCTCAGCAGTTGACGCGCCCGGAACCACCAATCAATCAATCAATGATTGATTGCTTATTAGTGATTCTGGATTAGTCAAGAGCTAAGGCCATTAGTCCCGTAAGTACGGTTCATGTTTTCTTTCGGGAGGAGGCGTTGATCTTATCCGCTGCAAAGTGTGATGGGGCGTCGACCTACCGTCGGTGTGTGTGGTAATGTAGCAAGTGTAAGTGTGTGTAAGTAAGGGGATGGGACAAGGAAGAGGAAGCAAAGATCGTGCGCTGTCCGTGGCCTATTTGTTAGAATATTGCTCCGGCATTCACCTGGTGGTGATCGAAGACACCACGGAACACAGAGCAGCCGGCCGCAAGAATCTTCCTCCAAACTGCGACTGAATTCGACTTAGCTGACGAATCAGTGTCGAGAATCCTACCACCAACGGGGATCTAACCTAGAACCTGCCGGTTACAGGCACTGCAGTGACATCATTTGATGCCCTGAGCCACCTCTCCCAGTCCCAGTCAATTAAAATCCTCCCTAATTCGCAACCCGTCTCTCCCGTCGTCTCCCGGAGGCCACGGCCCCTACCTGTGGGCTGCCGCTTGACGACGAGGCAGCGCGTGCGGCGGGCGCCGGCCGCGTCTTCCAGCGTGACGCGCGCGCGCCACAGCTCGCCTAGGAAGTTGTCGCCGACGCCGCCCGCGGGCTCCACCTCCAGCGCCGCCAGCCGCGCCATGGCGCCCTCCTCGCCGCTGGCGCGCAGCGCGTGCAGCAGGAAGTCCTCGGTGGGCGGCACGGCCGGCCGCGGCGACGACGGGATCGGGATCACGCCGCCCTCCTGCGCATTGGATGCCGAGGGTTTGAAAACGTCGATGGGTCTAGAAAATGTCCGATTTAAACATCGTCTTACTGTCCGTCGTTCGGTCCGTCAGCGTCGTTCGGTCCGTCAGCGTCGTTCGGTCCGTCAGCGTCATTCTGTCCGTCAGCGTCGTTCGGTCCGTCAGCGTCGTTCTGTCCGTCAGCGTCGTTCTGTCCGTCAGCGTCGTTCGGTCCGTCAGCGTCGTTCTGTCCGTGAGAGTAGTTCTGTCCGTCAGCGTCATTCGGTCCGTCAGCAAAAAAGTTATTTTTTTTGTAGACCAGTCTAATTCATACGAAGTGTTGAAAGATAAAAACGTGTTTTTAAAATACGTTTTCAGAAAAGAACTTGAATGGCAAGATATTTTTTGGGCGGTGCGGACAGAGGGTCGTGCGGATCCTGCATCTACGAGGACCTAACGTAAAATCACGAAACTTTCAGAATTTGTTTTCCAAAAAATGTATACTTCAGCATGGATCATCACCTTTAAACCCAAGCTTTGTCAGAGTTGAGTTGTTTGATAATTTTAAATTAACGATCCAAGAGGCGCCAGGGTATTCGTCACATATGGCCTTGCTAAAATCGTACGGTGATAACTCGTGAGTCAAACCGATGAATACTCCACTGTTTTGTGCATACTTTAGGAAAGATATAATACTTGAGGAAGAGATAGTTTGAGGAAATCGTATTTGCGGTCCCACTGTCCATATTAATCTCTCGTCGAGTGGTTCGTGGAATTGAGAAGAATTCTCCAATCATAAATAGCAGATTTATGGTGCAGAGATAACAATTTATTTTGCTCTTTCATGTTTCAAACTGTGAATAGCTTCGTATATTCTCGTTTTTCCCTCACTTGTTTTGTAATCCCGTTCATAAAGCTTTCATAAGATGTTTACGACTGGATGGATGATGTAAATGTATTGATGTAGTAAAGCGGAGGCCATATGACATTTTTTCTCTTTGAATTGGATCGTATCCATTTCAGTTCGCTTTATTTAAGTATGGATCGAGAATGGATATTCTCGGAAGACTGTTAGTATTATTGTCATTTTAGAACTGCAGAGTGTATCATGATTTTTTTATATATTGTGTCCAATTTTAATACATTGAAGAGATCCTTTCTTTCAGACTCCGACCATGAACGATCGGGTAAAAATTCGAATTTTTTACACCTACTGTACTACTGGTTTTTGGAAGTGTGTATGGCTTCTAGTAATAATAATAATAATAATAATAATAATAATAATAATAATAATAATAACAACAACAACAACAATATATCTTTGGCTACTATTGGCTGGAGGTGTTGTGGTAACGTGAATGGCGTGTTAAGTCCAGAAAACTGAATTCGGAATCCAGCGAGAAGAAAACATTTTTGTTGGTTGGATACAATTTTTCAAATTTTTTATGGTATATATTGCGTCACCATTACAAATAATGTGGTAAAAATGTATGTGCTGTTGTAGCTCAGTTTCCCTGTCTATGTGTTTTTTTATTCTATATATCTCCTTTTCCATTTCGTTTTTGCATTTTATTTACTGATTTTGAAAATACATCAGGCTGTAATTATATTTACGCCTGAAATTGACAAATTTATTCGTTGTGTGTTTGGTTTCGTTTGATGAGATCAAGTGTTCTAAATAATAATTGTTTTTTCATTCCCTTTGTTAATATCGATCTTAAATGAAATATATGGCATATTGATTCCTTTCCAGGAATTTGTCGCTGAGAAGAAAACTATGCCGTTACTAATCCTTGTCTTTTCTACATTGCTCTGATATATTTCACATGCGCCCAGAAACGTGATTGTAACGTAACACATGAGACATAAACCCTTGAAAGTGGTGATTCCTAAGTAACTTATATGTGACAATCCAGGCAGACCGCTTAGGCAGTAGTGTCATGGCGATATCGGATCGAAGAATCTCAGGTTCTAATCCCGGCTCGGGGATGGATGTATTTGTGATCGTCCTTCATTATTATCCTATCACTTCATTAACGAAGTATTAATAATTCTCTGCTCAAGCAGGCCTTGACCGTGAGGGCTGTGCAGTTGTCTAATACGAAAAACAAACTTACATCTGATTCATATTTCAAGATGAATTATTGCGCAAGTGCTCCTGTCAATTATAATACGGTTGTTAATATTTGCTCAAAGACACTTTTAAAAATAGATTAGTATTTTCTCATCTTAGTACACATTATTCCACTCTTCAAACTTGCAGCTTGATATGCAGCAGTAAAACCAGAAGGGCCAGAACAATTAAAAAAAATAAAATTTTGGGTTCCTATCGAATACGTAATTATTTATTGTAAAGTATCAATAATTGTATCATTCAACATCATAATATCTCCAAATTATTGAATTTCATTTATGTACTAAATGCATACTTTAAAAATTGATGTGCTAAAGCAATGGAGTTTTGAATTGCGTTCCAAGAAATCTTTCATTCTAGAATATACCTATAGACAAGTGAAGAAAATCCATAACTGCGGAAGTATAACTATAGTCAATGACATTTCCATTTCAACCTCTTTCATTTGTTTTGAAACCTTCACAAATTTCCTTTCACTTGCCTTCTGGCGCCACGAGAATAGCCGAAGCCTAACGTTTACACGATAGACAGACGTGACACAACCACCGCGTTCAACTCGGCTCAGAATTTATTTTCTTTAATTACAAGGCGAACATGTTATGATCTCGTGGAAATAGTCTTAATGAAGAGAAAATCTTGCCATTTAAATAACGTTTTTACATACATTTTATTATAATATTATAGTATTTGAATTACAGTTTCTTCTCGTACAGTTCTTTGAAGTTTTCACACGAAACAAATGAATAAAAATATGTAAATAATAAGGAGATTCAAAATCGACACGAAGAGTGCAACTGCCATTGAGATATTTAATTTCATCACAATTACGGTTCTACTAATTACGTGGGTAAATTAAAAATATTGAGGGGTTGCGGAGATCTGACACAGCCGTTTCAATGTTTCATCGCGCTGCGGCAAGCATAGCCTAACGCACCGCGTGCCGAGTCAACGACAGGCAGTGTGTGTGTGTATGTGTGCGTGTGTGTGTGTGTGTGTGTGAGCGAGCGTGTGTGTGCGTGACCGGCTGGCCCGTTAAAAGCAACAGTGAGAGAGTCTTTCATGAAGAACTGTGAGAAGGAAGTGTATGGAAGCTTGTGGGCGCTGTTTGTTACACTTGGGACCAAAACATATTAGAAAATATTTCGTGTAATCACACATTATTATGGAATATGTTGTGTTTCATTAAGAGGAGAGTGAGAATCTTCTTTACCAACATACTATATTATTAAGACATCGTTTCATATTATGACAACTTGTGAAATTTACATTATGGTACTGCAAGAGATTCTTGGATATCTTAAAGAACGGCGTACGTTGGCTTATTTTTAGGCGTTCTTCTGATGATTATTTACAATGCTGTTTACCATTAAATTGTAGTAGAAAAATTATTTGAAGGACATCTGTGGGATGATGTTTCAAATGAACACACAACGAAAAAACAAGATCTACTTTCCCTCTGTGCTAAGAATGTATCCAAACTACTTCGTGCAGTGCATGGCAGTAGTTCATCATCGTTCATGTATATCCTGTCTTGTGGGGCCTCGCATTGTTGGGAGATAAGCGATAGCGTATTTGTATATTAACACCTACTGCAAAAGGAATGTCTCTTTAACTACTTGCTGTCCAGGAGACGCCGCGTCGTTGGGACAAGGCGTTAATACTTCATTAAGAAAATTGTGAGGTCAAATCAAACTTCGAGTGCGTGTTGCGGGTGTGTATACAGTGGCGACTGGCAAAATTGTGGGATCCAATTGTAATGATGGGAAAGTGAAGAGAGGCAAGAGGCTTCAAACAGTCAGGAAATAACACCCACGAGACACAATATACATCCCCGGAAAATATTACTCAGAAAAATAATCTAACTGAAAATGAGCTAAATCAGTTTTTGTAAATAATATTATTAAAATAGCATTGTACTGCTTCAACAACGTTCACGAGGAAGCTGATGCCAGTTTGGACTGTACGTGATATATGTCAGTCATTAACCAATCCATCAGTTTGCCATTAGTCCATTCACAATCTAGTTTCTTACACTAAACTGATGCTAGATTTGGTGTCCAGCTATGCTCCTATTTAAACCTAGTGGCGCTTCAAGGCCCAAACTGGAAGGAGAGAGGGACATTAAAATCCAATCAGGAGCTTTGTTGTGACTTAAAGTTTTAGTACTGGAACTCCTAATTGGATGACAGAGCCTTCCTCTCCGCCCAGCTCGTGACCTTAGAGCGCCACCATGTTTAAATCGAAGCATAGCTACAATGCTTCGGTGGCACAAGTGTCGTAGCCTCTGAAGCATCATTGACGGCGAGATGCTATCATCCTGGGCGGATTTTCGACACTAACTACATAGCGAGGACAATTTCAACTACTGACTGCAGGAGGATACTAGCGGCCGGCTGCTCTAATGGTAGTGTTCAGAGGTTTCTTCGATCAATATCAGGCGAATAGCGGAGCAGTACTCTAACAAAAGGAACACGAACCGTGCGCGATCTTTCCAACCTGATCATTGTCCCCACAACTGCCACCCCTCACAAGCACAAGCACAAACACAATCAATCCTTTGCACTTACACGCATTATATTGGGGCGCCCCTGCACAGGGAAAATACGCAAGCAGACTTGTAGCTCTCCGTCGAATCTAACGTTCTATGCGAAGAGGAATATCTCCGCAATATAACTTGCAATTCATTAATGGGAGCACAGACCGAAATAGGTGACGCACACACACGCAATCAGTGCTTTCATACATTTACAAAAACAGTGTATCTTCAGTTCAATTCAAACAATCTTCTCAATAGTTCATATTCTGCGTAACACTATGTATTATCTTGTTCTCTTCCAACATTTAGACCGTCTTTTAACATTCCTGTTACCTATCCCAAAGCAAAGG